AAAAAAAAAAAGTATTTTCATTACTTATTATGCTTGTCACTTTTGTTCTTTTCTCCAGTTATTGATCTTTTCTGTATGTATCGGGAGTACGGAAAATAAACAGAGGTGGCAATTAAAGGGAAAAATAAACAAAACTATTTAAAAAAAACAATTAAAGAACGACTGAAAATGAATCACGTTTATGTTCACTTCCCCAAATGTTACAGCAAACAATTTTACTGCGTAACACCAGGTGAACAATTATTTTCTGGTAATATTGAAGATATTCACGGGAATTGTTTTCAATTTTTCTGGACTACAACTAACTTTAAGGATTACAACAATCTAGCCAGCAGACAAAAAATAAACTAAATTTTCTTTTGACATTTTACTTTAAAAATCAGTTACATACAGTAATATAAATGCATGCCTAAAACCTTTCTCAGAGGAAGAAAGATTTTGTTGACCAGTTACACTGTTCCAAGAAAATGAATACCAGATAGGCAGACTGGAATATCTTCAGAGAAGAACGTAAAAATGTGTTTGGGAACAGAAAGACTGACTTTCCAGGAAAAGCTTTTCATGCAAAAGCCATTTGACTAAACAACAGACTACACAACTACCTGTAAGCCTATTGTGCTGTCTGAATTAAGAGCTTGCTTTTCAGAGTTCCCCAGGGGATACCACTAAAAAGATTCATATGAGCAAGTTATCTCAAACAAAAAAAATCACTGACAGCACAGAAAACATGCAAGTCGTATGAGCAAATAAATAAGTAAAACAGAAAGAAAAAGACAGAGGGAGGAATCTGTTTTCCTGCACAGTGTATCTAAAGGGTCTCCCATCGCTCATGGCTAAAAGCTAGCTGGAAAGCACTCAAGAATCTACTGTAAGGAACAATAATGTACTGCCCAGAGCTGCAGATGATCTAACAGGTTTGCAATTATGTCCTTACAAAGAACAAGTGCAAAAAGCTACAGCTGATTTTTCAAAAAAATTAGTCAGTTACTAAAGCTATAGGATTTAACTGTAAGCACTTCAAATAATGTATGAACTTCAATTCAGCAAAATGCTGAAACTCCTTTAGCGGGGCTTTCTGATTCTCTTCTAATTGTCTCAGATACTTCTGCTAGTCTTTTTTATGTTCAGAGAATACCCAGCTATGCACATTATGACTCACTTGCAGGAAAAAAAACATAACTGCCAGATTATGAAGTTGCAGAGACTACAGTATCAATTTATTTCTCCTTCATGATTCAGCCTGTCACAGATTTCAGTGCTTATGAGAATACATAGAGTATCGAAGTGGAAACCTGTTAATACAAGTATGAAAAAGTTTTGTTTCTAAAAAAAATTGTTTCTAAAATTGTTTCTAAAACCATATTGTTGCAGCTGACTGGACACTTCAGAAGTAAGTGTCTTAATCTATTTTAAAAAAAATTAGAATCTATTTTTTAAAAAACAGAGAGATTGGAAACTGACAGTTCCTTACCAACATCCAGTCCATTCTGGCTTCACTAAAGCTTAGACAATATCACTTTATTTTTCAAAATATCAGAGTTAGCTGGATTAAAAACAGCTCTGCTACACTTATCCATACTGCAAGTCTACTTGTAGCAATCAGTATGGTCAAACTGTGATGGACACCTTCTCCCAAGCAACTCTGGGTTGAGACAGTTTGTATACTTGTCTTTGTATAGGAGAACAGGACTGCTTTTCAGAAGCTTAAGCACCATCAATAATCAGCTGAAAAGTTATTCTGATTAGATCACACTTCCCCAGCTCAGATTCCACCCATTCCTATTTTAAAACCTGTATTTTCATGATTGTCTGGAACCAAAATGTAGTATTTTATAGCACTGTCAATTTCAATTCAGATTTTTTTCTCTATTTCTAGTTCCAAAAAACATTGACAATAATAGCTATCAAAAGCTGTTTAAGACAAAAGCAAAAGCATGAAAATGTTTTTATATAACAGGAAAAATGAGGATCTTTGCTTGTGGAACTACTGAAAAATTCATGTACTCACTGCTCTCCTGGGCCATCAGGGCTACCATGGACAGATTTCAATACACAAAGTCCCATATTTTAAAACAGAGGAATTTTCGATTTTTAGAAACAATTGCATTTCTTGTTTTCAGTGCCTATTTTTTCCCTATGAAACTAAATCTGCTTCCAAAAGGAATCACCAGAGTTAAATGAACCAACTGCTATCCCTAAGAAAAGGCCAACACATAGCCAAGAAACACAATAAGAGAAATGTGAACATTTTATAATGTGCAGCATGGAGCTTTCTCTTTGTAACTGGTAATATTTATTAGCCTTATGGCATACACAATTCCAAGTAAATATCAATCTCACCGTTTCCATCTTTAGCTGAGATAGAAATGGAATGTATTACTAGTATTAAAAATTCTCAACAAAAATAGAACAGTTGGTGTTCTTATGAAGCCATCAAATTTGGTGGGTAGTGCTTCTTTAATAGGAATAACATGCTACTAAAAGGTACTAAAATTGATAAGCAAGGGCAGATTTTGGAAAGATTTGTGGTTAGTTACAATATCCTCATGAATCTTTCCACAGGACAGAAAAATTACTAAAAGAGTGAAGTTGAAAGGCCCAATCCAGCCCTTTCTTGCCCTTCTCTGAAGTCTCTCCAGTTTGTCAAGTGTGGACCAAAAGGGACCAAAATACCTTTAATATCCCTTCTAAGTCTCAACTAAACCCATACACCCTTAGTTTCCCAGTTCATAATGCAATGCTTCTTTCATAAATTATGTTGTCTTCTCTGCACTCATGCACTCATCCACTTCTATTTTCTAATGTTTTGGGACATCTTCTTATATTTTTATTCTCAACAGTATTTGGGACTCCTCCCTAATTGCATTTTTTGTGGATTTCAAGACACGATGCTTTACCTTCTCCTCTACTTCACCATTGAGATTTCAAAATAACACTACAAACTAAGGTCTCAACCGTAAAATTTAGTCTTCACAACAAGAATGAAAAGCTACAATGAATTAACAATTTCTAGTACATGCATGCACTTTTCTTTTCCTGCTTTTTGGTGTCCAAGCAGAGAAATTATCCTCTTTTCAGAAGCAAGTTATTTTTAATGCTCGAAACTGCCTTTTACCTTTCTCTTTTTCTTTTTCTTTTTTTTTTAATATAAATAAAATAGCTTCTAATTAACAGTATGCAATATCAGAGGCCACATTCTTAGAAAAGAAACATGGGTGGTGAAGTGTCCCAGCTTTTGACCTGCCTTCTCTTAACACACCAGAGGCACACACACCCCATCACTTTGGTGATACAGAGACTGCAGGCTCTTAACAAAACCTTACTCAACAGAGAAGTTTGGCTGTCAGTATCTGATAGCCTTCCAATTACATTCAGAGATCTAATATATTTTTTAATTAAACCTTAGGCTATTTTTATATATTAATTGCTTCTATTACAATTTTATTACAATAAAAAATGTTAACCATGAAGGCCAGACAAGCCATTGCCAAATCTGTTGTTTCATTTTAGGGACATATGTTCTTCATCTACTTTCTTCCAGTCTTTACCATACCTACTAATGGAATGACAGCTTAAGAAGTAAAATCAGGTACAGGTATTTTTGCGATGTATGTTTTAACACATAATATTTAGAACTGCAAAATATATATATTTAACATTGTATACACACATATACTTATTTTGATAGGCTAGTTGAGGCAGCCTAAAAAGAAATTAAATGAACAAAATTTAAACATGAGAAGCAATCCCTAAAACAAATAGACAGGATTTTAGCTGCCCTAAAATGTTTTCTAATGCAAAAAAATTTAAGTAGTAAAGATTGAAGATCAGAAGGTGATAACTGATGCAAAGACCAACAGGAGCACTCAAAGCCTGTTCTCTGCTTTAAATCAGTGCCTAACTCATGCTATCATATTTACAATATTTTATCTTGAAACAGAAATACTATGATTAACATATTCGTAGAATTGTTACATTCAGATAACGCTTAAGTGACATTCACAGTTTAAAAGAATGGAGACAAAATCATCTCAATTTGAAAATCTGATATCAGTGGTACATGTTTTTTCTCCTGTTAGTTTTGCATTTACAATATATGACTAAGTTTTTAGTACTCACAGGCTTACCATCTGGACCAGGCTGACCGGGATAACCATGATTCCCAGGCTGCCCAGGCTCACCCTATGGAGGAGCAGTATGTTAACACACAAAAGATATGAAAGAGCATTTTAAAATTAGCACAGAACAACCTTAACCCTAATACATTCCACAAAACAGTGGCTGCAAGCCCAGATACCTGCTATTGAGGAGTAATTCATACAGCAAAAAAGAACTGATCTTGTAACCCCCCCGAAAATTCTCCCTAACTTCTTGTGCAGGACTTGGAGAAGTGAGCTCAGATAGAGCACAAGTTTGCCCCATCATCTCAAATGCTTTCAAGCTTTTTAACATCTTAACTGAAATAAAAAAACTTTTCAGCAAATAGATGAAAAAATCTTTATTAAAACCTTGTCGATTTAGTAGTTCTACTCTGAAGAAAACTCTCACCTGCTTTGGCTGAGTGTAGTTCTTAAAGCAAAAGCACTGGCAAGGCAGGAGCCAGGATTAAAACCTGCTAAATAATAAACTCCTCTTCACACACTTATTGCTGTCTAAAAAGATATTCTTTTTCTTATACGGCCTTTGCAGTTATTCTGTCATGCCCATGTTAAAGGAAAAGGCTTCATGTTTATGCTAAGAAAGCAGGAGCTTCCTACTCAATATATCCTCGTAGCGTACTACAGTTCTCTGTTTACTTTACTAATGGACTTGATTTGAGCCCAGCAAAACCCAGTAAGACTTGATCTATAAAAACATTTTACTTCTACAGGAGCGTTAAGCAGGTACCGCTTCCTTCAGCCTGAACCATCAACAGACCCGTGGGTCAGTTACAGCTGCAGAACTGTTATAAACAGGGAGGACCTTAGGAGGGAAATATGAAACTAGCTTTCAGTGTGACTGTGAAAAAACATCTTTTCACATATAAACCACAGAAATGTAATGCTGAGCTAAATGGGAAAGGATATTGAATAATGTCTCTTTAGAAAAGCATAACCATTGTAATTTGCTACATTAATAATAGGTTACCAGAATTATTATTGTCCAAATTAAGAAGTCCAGGTTTGAGATTTGAGTGAAAATAAATTTACTTTCAAATATACTATCTAAACTGTGAAATTTTATGACTTTAACTTCAAAAGGTTAAAACATCACTTGTATTTTTAAACTGTTATAATTTAATTAATTTTATTGGACGCTGTTAATATCACAAACAGACAAATCAAGTTTAAATTTATGTTGTTCCAAAGTCAGTATTCAAAAGTTAAGAAATACCATAACTAGGATAACCAATACAATCTTAAATTGGCTTCCTTTTCACTCTTGCTGCAGACTTTTGTGTTAGGAACCATCGTGTCCCCTGTATTATTCAGTTACCCCCAAACATACTGCAATGCCATTGAAAGATTGAACATGAAGGAGGGATCTAAATAAAATTGTATAGGTCACCCTAATTTTGACATTTCATACTCTTTCATACTTTACAGGCTGTGGCTTTCAATTTTTTTTAAATTATACTTTCTTCTCTCTCTCTTTTTTTTCCTCTAATGTGCTAAACAGAAAAAAAAGGTAAAAGACCACAAAAATTCTGTTACATGAAATAATAATGATCTCTATCTTGTGGATTCCAATTCCCTGATTAGAAACCCTTACCACTGTAGCAAAAAGCCCTTTGACGTGAGGCAGCTGCAGCAGACTGTTAACCCTTTACATAATGAGTAGATTTTTTTTTTTAATTATGTTTTCTAATAAAAGACAAGCACTTTGGGATTTCCTTGTCTACCCCAGTAAGGTAAGCTAGTAACTCTGGAAGCACCGCTTAGAACAGTTCCTGAGAAAGGTACTACAGACAAATACTAGGGGCTTGAGTTTGCATGTTAGAAATCAGAGACTCAAGTCTGGTTCTCATTTTAATCCTTCACCAGCACTAAAGGGAGGTCATCCGAACAGCTAAAGTGGAACTCACCCAGTAAGCATCTAGTCCATTCTTTAACAAAGAAGGAAAAAACCCTCTCCACTGAAAGACTTTTATTAGCAAACCATTTCATTCTCAAGCAATTAACAGTGCAAGATCATTTGCTGAAGGAAACACATTTGCAAGGAAACACAATTTTATATCCATGATCATTTTCCTTAAAAAATAAAAGATATACTTGCGTTATTAGGAATTATGGCACTTAAACATGACCTTGAGTATCCTAATCATTATATCATGCACTGGAAACTAGAACTAGGAGAACTTGTCTGCTACTTTTTTAATTTGCCTGACTATGACAGGGGTTGGTATTGGGACAGGCGCTGTTTAACATCTTTGTCGGTGACATGGACAGTGGGATTGAGTGCATCCTCAGCAAGTTTGCAGATGACATCAAGCTGAGTGGTGCGGTTGACACGCTGGAGGGATCTTGACAGACATGAGAGGTGGGCCTGTGTGAACCTCATGAAGTTCAACAAGGCCAAGTGCAAGGTCCTGCACCTGGGTCAGGGCAATCCCAAGCCCAAATACAGGCTTGGCAGAGTACGGATTGAGAGCAGCCCTGGTGAGAAGCACTTGGGGGTGTTGGTTGATGAGAAGCTCAACATAACCCACAATGTGCACTGGCAGCCCAGAAGGCCAACCCTATCCTGGGTTGCATCAAAAGAAGCGTGGCCAGCAGGTTGAGGAAGGTGATTCTGCCCCTCTACTCCACTCTGCTGAGACCCCACCTGGAGCACTGCATCCAGCTCTGGAGCCCTCAGCACAGGAAAGACATGGACCTGTTGGAGCAGGTCCAGAGGAGGGCCACAAAGACGATCAGAGGGCTGGAGCACCTCTCCTCTGAAGAAAGGCTGAGAGAGTTGGGATTGTTCAGCCTATAGAAGAGAAGGCTCCAGGGAGACCTTGTAGCAGCCTTCTAGTACCTGAAAAGGGCCTACAAGAAAGCTGGAGAGGGACATCTTACAAGGGCCTGTAGAGATAGGACATGGGGTAACAGCTTTAAACTGAAAGAGGGTAAATTCTCATTAGATATAAGGAAGAAATTCTTCACTATGAGGGTGGTGAGGCCCTGGAAGAGGTTGCCCAGGGAAGCTGTGGATGCGTCATCCCTGGAAGTGGTCGAGGCCAGGCTAGATGGTGCTTTGAGCAACCTGGTTTAGTGAAAGGTGTTCCTGCCCATGGCAGGGAAGTTGGAACTAGTTGATTGTTAAGGTCCCTTTCAACCCAACCCATTCTATGATTCTATGACTGGCCAACGTAAGATTTGGAAAAAAAACAAGAAAAAAAAAGGAAAAAAAAAGTCATGTATGCTCAATAAGACAAAATAGGAACTTACTTTTGGGCCTGGAGGTCCTTGCTGTCCTGGTGGGCATATACAGGGAGCAGGTGTTGAGCCTACATCACTAGGACCATTCATGCACTACCAAGAGTGAAATCAGCCATCAACACACATGCCAAAAGCATTCAACAAACGTATCATAACATTATATGAAGCTGATTTTCCTTAGCTTGCGTAGGTCCTGGCTTTCACTCTCTTGTTCAGCTGGAACTTCTACTTATCTGAATATAGCCCTCCAGCTACTTTGCATACGTGAATTTTTACCCAGAAGAAAAATAAATAAGACAATAAGTACCAATACTGGGCTGATATCTGAAACTCTATTTGCTCTTCCACAAATACTTTGTCATATAGTTTGATAATTTTAAATCTGGCAACATGCAAAACTCTTTTCCTAAACTAATTGATATTCATCATTTGAAGTGTGATCAATTATCAAATATAACAATTTAATTAAGGTTTGTAAAAAGAATCTAATAAATATTATATATATCATAATGACCACAAGCAATGGGTATGCTATCACGTGTAGCAAAGCCTGAAAAGAACATAAAGCCCAAGTCTCCTACCTCCTGGGCATGTGTTCCAACTACAAAGCTACTTCACGAAAGGAGGGGCATGACTGCTACCACGGACTCCTACAAGTCCAAGTCCTGGCACCCAGGGTGCCCATCCTCCAAAGACCGTTAGGTGGCCTCCTCCAAACTATGCTCCCTATACAAACAGAGGTAAACACTAAGCCTTTTCAGACCACATCACCCTCTAGGGAATTTTTTTTTTTGAGGTAGTTACTTCTCACCACTGATACCACATGAAACCTCAACATTTTAGCAAGGCAGGGCAGGGGAGAGCTACTAGATCAAATCCATTTGCCCACGGTGAGGCACCCAAAATTTAGGTGCATCTGTACTAAATCTATATCCTGAAGTTAGATTCAGTGAATTCTTTTTCACCCAGCAGGTTTTTAGAGCTATGGAAAGGCAAAAAAAGATTCTAAGATACAAAAAAGCAGATTTTCTATTTATTATCTGAAACATTTTCTATACCATTTTACTCATATTTTCTAAAATAACTCACACTTTTTACAATGTTCTCTGAATGGAATTCTCTCTCAGGGTCAAATGATTGATCAAAACACAAATCCACGTTTCCTTTGCAATGGTACCAAGTGGAGTTGAGGATGGTTAGGGAAGCTATCATATTAAGTCTTCAAACAAGCTCCCCTTCAGGGAGCTCCCCTTATCATGACACAGGTAACAGCTACCTGACTGTGCGTATCCCCAATCACTTTGCAACAGCATCCACCTCTGCAAATAAGAGCAATTGAATTGAACCAGGGAAAAAAAAATCAGGCCATTTATTCTAATAAACGTGGGTTTATTCAGAAAACTTATTTTTAATTTGTCTGTAGACTGTAGAGTTCAATTAATGGAAATCCATAACTTTTCAGCTTAGCAAACCTCTGTCTACTTTTCAAAACAAAGTGCATATTACCTAGAATAATAAAAAGTTTATATAAAGTCAAATACTACCTTAAACTGAGTTTGAGCAGTTTGGGATTGAGCCTACCTCTCCATTCTGAAACAAGAAGAAACGCAGTTTAAGGGTACAGCAATATTTGTAATAAGCAAAATCCATTCATTTGTAAACACTATCAAAACCAATCATAAATTCAGGGCTCTAACTGTCAATTTTAATTCAAAATTTTAGATTTTTTCAGACTTATGTGGAGCTGCTTTCAATGCATATGAATTTTTAGTTCATTTAAGGGTCTTTCAACAGGAGCTACCAGTAGCAATTAGTACTGAACAATGTAATTATTTACACACTAAATGTTTAGATTTGGGTTAAAACTTTTGCCAGGAGTAACTTCTTATCAAAAAAATCCTCTGCTTACTCATTCATGTCAGAGAATGTACCAAAATATCTCTAACATCTCTGATCTCTGCCTGAATCCAGCATCTGGGAAAACATAAAGCAGCACAGAGACAAGGCTGGCTTTTTCTCGCTTTCTGGTGTGACTGCATCAGACTCTGCTATCAATTGAGTTGAGTTTTCCAGTATCTGCAACATCACAGAACAATCCATCCCCAATTATTTCAGCACACCAACCATGAAATTGTCTGTCTCAGTGGTGTAGTGGCCACCATTAGCTGCACCGTGTACAGAAGTTTTCTAATGCACACAGTCACCACTGATTTCAAACAGTCTAGGGAGAGAGACAGCTTTCTCTATATTCAATTTTCATCTTAGGTAACCTCCAGAAGGTTATCTTTCTCCACGGATCATAGAGGGAGCTTAAAATTACTATGCAGCTAGGTATCTCCGGGAAAGGGGCTGAATTCAGGCTGTCATTAGTACATACAGCCCCTACTTAGTTCAGGAGCTCTGACACAACCACAATCTGACAGAATACAACCACAAACCACATATTCATCCTTAGAGATCATTCAACATTTTTATTTTCTGAAGGAGTCCAGAATTTCATGGGTAAAGTCCAAATTTACTTTACTGCAACAGCAAGTGAAACCAAACAGGCAAAAAGCAATCTTTCTGCTATGACTTCTTGCCAAATTGAAGAAAGCGCAAAACACTTTTTAGTGTTTGCTTTCTTTATGCAAAAATTTTTTTATTTGTTTACTTTTCATATCCCACTTCTATTTTGTAAAGAGCAAAAAGATATGCCACGCAGTTAAATAAAACAAACACTAAATTTATGTCAGGATTTAAAGCAAACTTTAGTTTTTTTAAAAAGAACCCATTAGTTCTTCACAGACACAGTCAGATTTCAGCTAATAATCCAGCCACTTACTTGTTGCTTAAATGAAAGCTGTGAGTTTTGAAGAAGCCCTGATAAGGCTGCTCACTGCAATAGACACACTGGCCCCAAATAAATAGAAGAAAAACAGACTAGCTGGAGGTTTGCACAAGTCTGACAAAAAATAAAATATCTGGATGTTGAAGATTTGCAGGTTCTATTGTCAAACTGGCAAAATGGTCCTAATACTAAACTAAATCCCAACATGTAGAATATGGGTTTACATAGTCCCAACATGAAAAATATGGGTTTACATAATAAGACACTGATGTCTGATTATCTTTAGGTCAGTTTGTTTTATACAACAAACAAAGGAGGACATTTTTAAGAAAACTACATATAAAACAATCTCTTGCTTATATTTTGAGATGGGAGTCGAATGGTTTTGAAAATCTGGCTCCAACTGTGTGTGATGAATAAAACACAAAAAAAAAGTGTTTTACATTTCATTGCATAATTAACCACAAGTAAGAGGGCAAAGAGAGGGTCAAAGGATCCCCATAAGCTTCCCAATTATGTATCTGAATCCTAAAATCCTGAACAGGATCTTATTTTTGTCTTATTCATAATATAATTCATGAAATCTTAGCAACATTTCAGTTAATGGGCTATTTAACACAGACATCAGCATACATACTTCTGATAGGAAAAGGTGATTTAAAATTATAGGTTTGTTTGTTATGTACAAAAATTTCAGAGATTAAATGACCTGACAAGTAGCAAGAAGTATATCAGGTAAGTTAAAAAGTAGTAAAGTATTTTACACTGCTGTAACCTAGTAGTTTTATTAGTTTATAATGTTTACAATCTTAAAATGTAATAGAAGATTCTGAGATTCTTCTATATTGCTGTCAAATTTCCACCATCAAATATCTAAACCAAAAAAACTTTCAAAATAAGTTTGCGCAAAAATAGGGCTGAAAAGATACAAGTTCTGTGTCACTTGATATTGCACAGCGTTTGTTTGCACCAGCTGAATCAATGCAGTATTACTTATTTTAAGAATTCATTCAGTCAGCTTTAAACAGTCATTTGCAAAAAATGCCAAGTAGTCCTCAAAAGTTCATCTATCATACTCACAAATCCTGGGATCTCACAGACTGTTTCTCGATTATTTTGCTCTGGGTCACAGTAGATTCGCAATTTTTGTATATCAAACTGTAATTCAAAACATAAAAGAAGTTTTTAAGAGAAAGTGTTGATAGTCTGACATTAAGTTAGTTTAAACTATACTCTTCTTAAGTTATACATTAAAAAAATGAACAAAATATTAAAAAGCAAGAGAAACTGGAAGCTCTGTGTGTCCACTACGGTTAAAAATCAATTAAAGATGTAGAAACATTTTTAGTTGGGCTACTCACAATGGTTAATACATGCAACCAATTAAACATTCTGTAATAGAATTATTTAAAGAAAAATAATCAATTCAAGATTTTCTTTCCTATAAATAATAGAAATCACTGCCCCTAATCCTTGGCAATAAATCCAAACACTCATGGCACAAATTACACTGGTTGTCAATATCACTGGGAAACAAGTTACAACAGCACAGGCGAAACCAACCTTTTCTTTTTTACCTTAACACTCCTGGGAAGATGTTTGTACACTGACCTGTCTCTACTAGATGTAAGAATAGTAAGTTTTGGTGAAGCATCAGAAGGCAGCCCTGACGCTTGAAAGAATTTGGTTTAGAGTTTAGCTCTATAACATAATGCTTTAAAAAGCAACTGGCACCAGGTAAGAGAAAGTTTGTGCCATTCTGCTCTGTTGCTACGCTCCAGAAAAATGAACCCATTGAAGCCAGTTTTTCTAGCAGAAACTATCATGACTGCAAAGAGAAAAAAGCCCTGTTACGTTTATTTGAAATCATACGCTGTAAGTTGGACTAGCAGGGGAAGAAAGCACACAAAATGGAGTCTCTCATGTGTTTTCACATTTGAAATGTCTGCAATTCACAGCACTTAAGTGTGTACACAAGTTTATCATCACTATACTGGAAAACACTTCAGCCAGTAAGATCCTAATTAAATGGAGAACACTTGCAAAATACATTTTCCAGACATTTTCCAGGGGTGATCCATAGTCTAGGGGCTTGATATCTGTGTGTTATATCAAAGGACGGGAAGCGGGGGGGAGCGGGTAACAAGAATGTAGTGCAGGACCTGTGCATGACGTAAACGGTACGGGGAGTGGGGAATGTGCTGGTTTTTGCTGGGATAGAGTTCATTTTCTTCACAGTAGCTACTACGGGGCTGTGTTTTGGATCTGTGCTGAAAACAGTGTTGATAATTGAGGGCTGTTTTAGCTATTGCTGAGCAGTGCTTACACAGAGTCAAGGCCTCTCCTGCTTCTCACCCCACCCCACCAGCGAGCAGGCTGGGGGTGCACAAGGAGTTGGGAGGGGACACAGCTGGGACAGCTGACCCCAACTGACCAGAGGGATATTCCATACCATATGATATCACAGTCAGCATATAAAACTGGGGGAAGAAGAAGGAAGGGGGAATGTTCAGAGTTATGGCATCTGTCTTCCTAAGTAACCGTTAGGTGTGACGGAGCCCTGCTTCCCTGGAGATGGCTGAACACCTGCCTGCCCGTGGGGAGTGGTGAATGGATTCCTTGTGTTGCTTTGCTTGCGTGCGCAGCTTTTGCTTTACTTACTAAACTGGCTTTATTTCAACCCACAAGTTTTCTCACTTTTACCCTTTCAATTCTCTCCCCCGTCCCACCGTGGGGGTCTGAGCGAGGGGCTGCGTGGGGCTTGGTTGCCGGCTGGAGCTAAACCATGACACAGAGAAAGGCGGCATGCAGATATACATTAAAATATTTCTCTATAATCGTATTTTAAATAGAACTATCCTGGCAAAGTTTGACTATTAATGTTTTGCAGAATGCGTCACAGTGAAAAAGCAGAGAAAGGAAATACCTTTTTTAGATTACAAAAATGATCTGGAAATATAAAATTGCGACCTGAGACAGATTTTCTACTTTTCTTCTAGTTCACTATCAGAATGGGATCTTACATTCAACATTCCTAAAATGTTTTCATTTTCATTTTACATAACATGTCTTGCTACTAACATTCAACTCAGAAATCATATTACTGGGAATCCATTAAAGTTCCATTTCTCCACTGACATAAGAGAAAAAACATAAACACAACAACAACAAACAAACAACCCTCTTAATCCTAGAATGCCCAAAACTATAAAAATGGGATAATCCTTCACCACCAGAGAAAATGCATTAGATGATTGATTACAATTCGGAAATGTCCAACTTCCTTGCAATAAGTGCTTGAAGTCCTATCAGAAATCTGTGACATTCAGTAGTTTTCACGAAGTACTTTAGTATACGGACAATGCTACCACCAGAAATGCTGAGTCACGCACACAGTGCGTCATCCAAGTTTCCATGTACGTTTTTAGATTATGATAATAATAGAACTGAAGCCTGGCTACAAAAACACAAAATTCAGGAGTAACTGAGTAAAGACATCTGAAGAAAGTTAACGAAGGTGATGCATAACACATTAATATCTTTTAATAGGACCAGTAAGGATCATGAATTTAGAGTACAAAAAAAGGCACAGCTTTCAATATAACAAAAAATCGTGTCTATTTATGTAATTCAGTATTTCTTAGTATTGTTTCCATTACTATCAGTCTAATTAATAATTTCATTACCACACTGCTATAAATATAAGGAATCTATCTAGCCAACATCTGGAACACCGTCAACATAAGAGTCTTCACCAGTGGTCTGCACAGCCTTTACCTATGCAGTCTGAAGTTTGAACCAGCTTTTTGGTGTCTGCAAAGAGCTGAAGGCAAAAGGACTTCAATGTTCCTCAGAATAGAGGGTACAGGGTTTTCAGGGAGGGGTTCCAGCACAGTAGAATCAAACAGTGGCAGTTTGAGTATCAAATATTTGCAGTACAACAGAAACAGAGTTGGTATACCTTGTACTTTCGTGACAATCTAGTGATGAGAAAGAACCTTCATAAAAATTTTCTCCCTCTTTTACTAGCATAACTGATAGAAGGAAATTATATGCAAGTGTCAAGCACAGATGAAATCCTCTGTTTTGAGACACTTTTTCCCAAATTCGGGCAATAACGTTGCATCAAATTTGTGTTTCAGCAAAAATGAATACCACTTGAAGTCAGTGACACCAATTAAGCACCCACCGCACAGGATATATCGGTTGCGCTGAGTCTTTCTGATCGTTTATGATCCATCTTAACTATTATAATTTTGTATATTTTATATTTATATTTTTGTAAATTTCAGCCTACTGTAAATTAGCAGAGTAAATTCAAGAAAACAGAAGGTGCCAATGTAATGTTAACCTACAGTAGAATTTCTGAATTATTGTGGTTTTAGCATATGCTTACCTGTACAGTTTCCTCCTTTCCAGAATATTTTCCTATTTGGGTTAGGCCACTGATGTAAATGCCTAAAACAGGATGTAATGGCTTAATTTCAATTTCTTGGTCATCTATATACAAAGTTACAAAGTCTTCTGTTACTAAGAGACGAATTTGATGCCAGCCTTCATCAAACAACGTCTAAGAAAAGTGAAGAAAACAGAATTGTGTAAAACAAAATGTCTTCAATTTAAATAACAATAAAACTGCATTTTAACACTTAACTACTGTTAATGGTTGAGATGATCAATGTTCCTGGTTTTGTCATACAAAAAGTATTGTAAACTGTATAGGGAAAAAAGTATTTGCCAAGTAGTATTATAATTGAGAAGATGATATTTGGTAAATATTAATCTCTATTTCAGAATTATTTTATAACCTACATAATTTTTTTCAGTCTATGATCTTGAACATGCTCAAACCCGTATTTGTTAAAAATATGAAGCCAGAGGCCTTTTTTTTCAGCAGTGGTATAATGTCTCAAACACTTCAGATCTTAAATCATGGTGAAAAAAAATTGAAAGTCTTTCTACTTAATCTCTTATGAAAAAAAATCTTAAAGACAACACGATATTGGCAGAATGAATCACAATATTGCAATGAATAAACCAAATACTACTTTCATCATCTCACAAAACCTCAGGTTTCTAAAGCTTAAGATTTAGTTTAAACAAATAGCATAGTTCTGCAAGTAATAGAAAATGAGAGACCCCTTTAAAGAAGTACTTACCCCACGTACCTTAGAAATTAAATTCAACAAGGGAAGAAATGCTGCATTCTTCAGCCTATCCATTAATTTCAAAACCAATCTAGCTCTTTAGCCTAGCCTAGCCTAGATGCTTATCTTTTATACAGCTAAATTTAATACAGATTAATCCCACACTAAATTGTTATACATAAGAGTAAACTGAAACATACATCTTTCAGTATGTTATATATCTTTGTTACCTTTTGTAGACATAAACAGAAATTTAGCTTACTTCACTTAATAGCATACACCCTTACACAGCACCTCTGTTTCTACTTCATTTTGATTTGTAGATTGGGTTTTTATTTATTCACAATGTCTCTCATTACAAGATAAAATAAACAGATCAGAATATATAACATTTCCATTTTTCTGACTAAAAGTGATAAACTATGATAAAGGTTTATTAAATAAAAAGGTTCACTGAAAGCATAGTGACACTTACAGTGTGTTTAGAGACATACAGCTCTAAAAAGGGCATAAAATTATCGTTCTACATAATAGCAATATAAGCATGGAGAAACTCAAAAGAAAAAAGCAAGAGCGTTCTTTTCATGGGAAGTTCATGGATACCTGGGACTGCAGGAATAATATTGATTTGTCACTGTAGCTGCCAGAAACAATTAAATATTTTGATTTAAAATTAAATTTTTTGATTGACTTCAAACTGAATTTTGTAACAATTTCCAGTAAATCAAGTTTAACACCACTTCTTAAAAAAATAAGAAAATTATTTCACCTACAAATAATCATAAAAAGGCAGAGGAAATTTGGAAAGAAAAAGTAAAATTCTCCATCCAATAACAGAAGAATAAAATACCTCTCCCCAGCAAAAGCTTAGTAGTTAAGACCTTCTTTTGGATAGGAGTCCTTCCTTCTCTGAGGATTTATATTTCAAATTCCTTCAGCCTGATTTGGAGTAAGGATTCAAATGCAGGCCACCGCTTCCCAGAAAAGTTGAACCCACTTGGCCATGAAGCGCTCCAGCAGTAAATCTTTCCCACTCTGTCTGCTGAAGCATCTCTCTCTGTTCATTTAAATAATACCCCCTGCAGTAAGAATGGGAATATCCGGGCTGCATATTCCTATACTGCTACAAATGCAAGGGTAGAGGTACTCGATCTCCTTCCCTCTGTCTCACCTGCAACCGAGATAATCCTTCTTACAAGAGTTGAATACTTCACTGGAAGTTAATGAGGAAAGATTGAATGAGAATCTTCAGATTACACTAGTACACGATAAAATTGGTTTGCACAAAGAGGCGAATCCCTTCAGTGAGAAAAAAAAGTAGCTGAAAGGACTTTTTATTCAGCAGAGAACTAGACAAATCCAGGTTGAACTCTCATTTTGTAAGCTGCTATTTACTCTTCTGGAGAAGAAAGTAACTTCTGTCATTATATATTTTCAAGGAATTTAGACACTTAACAGAAACTGTCTCTAAAAATGGACTATTTTAATTTACATTTTCTAGTCTCCATATCAAAGGCAGAAAATACTTTCCAGCATACGTTAAGCAAAGAGCTGTGTGAAATAGTATCTGTGATCTTCACAATTACCTGCTGGAAACTACTAAGTAGAAAGCACCTGCAAAGCATTTACAGTGATGATCACTGAGGACACTCTGGAAACATGGGTAAAGTACCCTCCATCTACTTTCAAATGTCTAAGCAGCCAAAAATAACACCATGCATTTTTAAAAAACATAAAGGGCAAAAGAATAATGTGCACTTAAATGAGTATCTCAGCATGATGACGACTTACTCCTTACCTTTACACGAGGTGCAGCAAAAGTAATAACTTGTGTGCCATTCATTAAACTTGTAGTAGTGAATGATAATGTTTTTTCTTCTCCATTAATAGTGACTGCTATCTGTGGTCTCTTATCCAGACTTAGAATTCTCCACAAATCCCACGTCTTTTTTACTTTAAATCTTTGAGTGGAAACAAACACATAGGATGGAGGCAGACCTTCTGGAAACACATTCCTAAATAAGGGGGAAGGACAAAAAAAAGGACAGTACTTGAACATTCATATAGATCTTAAAATAAGTCTTTCTCACTTTAAGCAAACAAAAAAAATCTGACTAAATTTAGAACTGTATTTATAAGTTTAAATACCTTGTCAATTCTGACAGGTCAACACGTGAGGTTACTTCATAAGCTTTTGCATTAGTGGTTGGTATTTGAATTCTCTTTTTAACCTTTTTCTTCACACCTAATCCTAGAAGAATGTCAAATCCTTTTTCATCTCGAGCTGCCACTGGAATTCTTGTCGGACAAACAGATTCTGCAAAATAATAAATGCAAGTATAGTTCAAAATACGACTTAAAACTTTCAAAAAGTAATCGCCCACCTACCTAATTTTTTGTAGCTGCCTTTCAAGAAATAAAAGAGAACTGAGAACTGCCAGTTAAACGTAACATGAGAGAAGTGACAGGCAGGATCCTCAGAGACATGAAGAGAGAATACTGAGATGTCATATTTTACTGCAGTTACGTTCATATACTATTTTGAATTGTTACTAATTGTAATTAAAAGGTACTACAATATCTGACTAAAATATTAAATTGATTTCTAAAATTGTATGGTTTCAAAATGTTACAAAATTATAGATCTTCACTTCCACAAGGTACTAACAGTTTTAATTAATCCAGCATCCCTCCCAACTATAACATCAAGTTGAAAATGGACAAAAGTAGAATTATCTACAACTATTTTTTTCATCTTTTTTTTCTGGAAACAGACTCTGATCTATTTTGTCTGTTACACTGAAATCTGCCTGAAGCTATTCTCACTATACAAATATTGCGTGGTATATTTTCTGTGGAAATAAAGTTAGCTGAATGTTATCTCTGTTTAATTATCTTTATACAAAAACAATACCAGGCAGTGGACCTAAGTCGTCTCAAAAGAAAAAAAGTGAGATAGCACAGTGAAATTGAACACTAAAGCCAACATTGTATTAGAGTAATAAATCAATTAAAAGAAAGCAAATAACTTTTTGCTTTATTAAAACTATGCTAAACTATTTACAGTAAATACATTTTCATCATTCATTTCCTATTGTTTCTTCAGAAAAGCATCAGTTCATAGAAAGGGAAGAGGTTAGGAATACATTCCAAAGCATGGGTGGAGAGTTCCCTCATCTCCATCTGGACCAGCCACAGTCTGGAAAACTCATGTTTCAGTGCCAGGGAATTATCAGCTCAAAGGTCTAGACTGGCTTCTCTTTATAATATGAGCAACACTGCATGGCTTCTCTCTCTAACCGACCCAAGGGCAGTCAGAAGCTACCCTGTTCTGGTGGGAGAGGCAGGATATATAAACTCTAAGAAAATTCAGCTAAGTGTCTGCACAAACTATCTATGGTGGGAAAAGACAATCCACCCTAAGGCAACATGCCACATGTACTTGAGGCAGCAGCAAGAAGCCACATGCATTCCCCTTAGTTCTCTTTTCCTCCCCACAGCAAAATGTCACCTGGCTCCCAAATTAAAAATATATTTAAAATTATCTGTCTGGTTCTACATGAAAGAATTGCAAGAACTCTCTGCCTACATTTTGGAAACTAAAATGCCCACCTTCTGAATGCTTCCTGAAAAAAAAAAAAGAGAAATACAAAGTCCAACACAACTTTTCTTCTCAAAACACAGATGCAGGATTTAAGTCAACATACTTATAATATTAAGTAAGAGTAATAACACTTCATTTTTTCAGGTTTCTTCACTGTGCATTGTTATCATGGAAACATTTTCTAAACTCATTTATTTCAAAGCTGAATAATGGTCATATTGCCATTAATACAGATAATAATATACACTGACAAGAAAATGAACGCAAGAATCTCTCATCAGTTGCACTATCAGAAATTTGGCATAAAATCAAAAAATAAATGCAGAAATAGTATTACTTTATGTGAGAGGGCCATTATTCTGGATCAATGCCAAAGAAATTATTCCAAACCAATATAATACAAATTAAGCATGTGTAAAATTACACATTAAGAAACTATTCTTTATTTCCAACGGCACATTGAAGAATTACATAAAAACAATCCCAGTAAGGTAGAAATTTTCAGGGTCATCTGGATCATCTTCTGGCAGGACTATTTTGATAACTAACTGAACCATTACACAGGATGCAGAAGTTAGTGGCAAAATTAAGAACTATCTTCCATGGGAAAGAGGGTTGTGATTCCAGTCCATAGTACCAGTCACAGCAACTCTTTAGCCTATACTGAAATCTTGTTCCCTTTCAGTGTTTTTATATAGTTTTCAGGTGCTTTGTCTTTCCTTCCTGAAGTACGAAATAACTTTTCGATGTTAAATCCCACTATCTAGAACAAAGGAACTTTTCTCAGCATCCTCCAGACATACTTCTGAGGTCTGCACTGAGTACTGTTTTTAAATGCATTCCTGACACACAATATTTCTATTTTTGCTAGAGAATATTAATACTACTTGACTTCCAGGATAAATATTAAATATTAAGAATACCTTAAATATCTGGGGACTCTTTTAGCCATGTTGTCCTTTCTGGATTCAGCATTTTTTCACCTTGCCGTACTATAAAATGAACACTAGAGCTCCCAAAAGGCACACAAGAGCCCTCCACCCACAAGGCCATTTGTAATAGCACTACTCGCTACACAAACCACCAAACCTCAGCCTCCTCTTTCCAGAAGGGAAATACTGCCCCTATGCTCTTATATCTACGTTCACGTAATAACAAAGTTAAAAACGCCATAGAGTAAAAGACTAGCATTTTTTTATGCAGTAGAACAAATACAATCAAAAGAGAATTGCAAAATTTTCAGGCAGTTTCACATGGGTGATCACAGCCAAATCGTTGCTGCTTTGCCCTCATGGAACTTCCTCTCCCAGAGTCAAAGTGAACCTTAACAACATGAATAAAAGAATCCACCACTCACATACAAAATTTCCAGTTTACTACTCTTGCAGTTCACCTGCTAAAGACATCGTGGTTAGAAATGAAGCTGCCAACTGGCTCTGATTGCTCTGAGAGAGGCATCTCAATGCTAACACAAGGGAAGAGCGCAACGTAAAAGAGTGGAAGCAAAGGGTCACTTTAAGTACACTTTGGTATACATAGTCAATATTCACAGATTACTGCTGTGAAAGTCCTGTCAAATATTGCAGCTGAATTTTAAAGGATACTAGTTAACTTAATTCTGAAAGCAGAAAATCCACCTTGATGAAACATAATGTTACTTCTTCTAAATTTTTTTAAAAGAAAATATTGTGTTTATTTTGGGGAATTTCTCCCTGCGTGCAGTTTTATTAAAGAATTTTGCTGCACTTAGTTGATTCAATTTTTGGTCTGACCACCTTACTACATCAGCCACAAGGAATTATTATGATTTTCATAAGTGTATCAAGAAATAAACACTATTATCTTCAACATAAGTACGACCATTCTTTTTCAATGAAGTCCGTACTCAAAGTGAGAGCAAATGAAAACTATTTTTCATTCTTACTAAGTGCAGAATATGGTACAACTGAAATATGACTTGGATCAATTGTTGACAATAAAACATGTACAAAATAGCACTCATAAACATTCGCAGTATAATAGAGTCCTTCTGAGTGATATATTTTAGAAACAATTCGCTATCTTTTTCATATATATGGGAAAGTCATTGTTTTACAAAGTTATCAGAAAACTCAATGCAATAATGCTGCTAGCATTCTAAAGGTAAAAAGTCATTTTACAATGTTGGTCTTGGCTAATTCTTCCATAAAATCCTTCTAAAAAAGATCATAACAGCTTGTTACAATTCCAGGCAACTTTGCCAAGAGTCGTTCTTCTGGGTTTTTCAACACATACACATAGCGGAAGAACTCCTGTTTGTAATGATAAGCTATCCTCTCAACTGTCGAGAAGAAATTCTAGACTGTGGAGCAGTATCAGCTGCACCTAGGGAAAGGATAAAGCAAGCCCTATATTCTCAGCACTATGAGGAGTGCTCAAACATTTTAGGGTTTCTAAACTTTATGAATGCAAAAAATTTGGAACTTAGAGCAAAATGCTACATACTGAAATTAAACACACACTATGCTAAAGCACCATATCTTTCATAAATATACCTCTGTTTAACAAAGAAAATAACATATTGGGAATTATTTCCACTGACAAGGTCAAAATGAAAGAAGATCATAGTAAAGATTATCAGATACCTTAGGTTACATTAACACATCCTGCTTGTGAAATAAAGAAATATGGGTACAGAACTACATTCCGCACAACTAAATTATTTTATAAGCAATTACTTACCTTCACAGAGTTTCTGCTTTATAACTTCTTTAATTCTTGATATTGCAATATAATCTTCAACATAAAATACGTAAGTTGACGAGGGCTTGTTGGCAATAGCTTTAAGTTCATCCTCCTCAATTTCTGAGCCAACACCAATAGCAAACAAAGTGATTTTATTTTTCCTTGCTTCTGCTGCTACGTCTTTGACTTCATCTTGGGACTTTCCATCAGTGAGAACCACTGCTATTTTTGTTAAAAATCTTGAAGATTTTGCAAAAAGATGGTCAAAGGCAAACTGAATAGCTCTTCCCGTTCTCGTATTTCCTCCCAAGTAGTGTATGGACTCCATTTCCCTGATGAGGTTCTCAGTGGATTCATGAGTTCCGAGGGGAATTTCAAGTACAGGGTAATCGCTGTACTGGACAACTCCGACTTGAATAAATTTTGGCCCTATGTCAAAATTTCTTGTAATATTGACAAGCCAGCTTTTGATTATTTCAAAGTTTTCTGGGCCAACACTGTAAGAGCCATCTAAGATAAAAACTAAATCTGCCGGAGCAGTTCTGCAACCTAAAAAAAAAAACCAAAAATCAAATAAATATTTTACTGAACTCTTCCACTTTCTTCTTCCACAGAAAATATTTTTCATGTAAATTACTATTTGTATTAGAATTTATATCAACAAATACATTTAATTTAAAAAAAAAATATCAGCTGAGTTTATCAGAGAAAATAAGATTGTTTCTGTAAGGCACACAGATCCAACTTGGTATCTGAAAACCATACCATTTTCTGTTTTTTACATTATCACAAGAAACAGCTATGAAAAATTCTGGAATTCAGTTCCTTAGCTGGCAATTGCATTTCATGCAATCAGGCAGAGAGGAATACATGTTGTTTTTTTCCATATCTCTTTGTCTGCAGAGATGATAAACATAAAAACTCATTTTTGCTAGCAAACCAAGCATACTGCAGAGGAAGGCTATAGTCTGAATACTCCAGAATTCAGCAGTAATATCCAATCCTCTTACACATACATTTTAATTGACTTCTGAGACCTACAGTACTAGTTATTATAAAATCCTGAGTCTCAATTGAATGTTGCTTGTAGCATATTCTGATTTTAGAAGAAAAATGCTCAGTGAATGAGCTCAACCTCCAGAATATAAGATCACGTAAGCATTTAATATATATAATGTAACTGCATAATGCCTTAGGCGTGGATTCAGCTACCCTAGCTGTAGTCACTTATAAATGGAGCTTTTAGACTAAATTGCCAACTACAGGCCATGGACCGACATAAGCATTTGTATAGGACACTCCTATCCATCTTACATGCACATTCCCTCCTCAGGTGGAGGGAATAACTCTCTAGAGGAGAGAATCACCTTCCCTTGATGGCGAAAAGAGCTTAGATAACTGACACACAAGGTGACAAGGACATGGCCAAAACCAGGAGAGATTCTTTTGATCCCATGGCACATGGGGTCATAGAGATTGCTGTGTATATACTGTGCTTTCTGTTTTGTGAAAGGCTGCAGTCCCACCACAGGGAGAGCTTTCCCTTGTCCTGACATCTGCCTACAGATACTTCTGGTCAGGTCAATATTTCACCTTCCTTGAAATCAAGTGACCACAGTCTGCTGGAGAGATGCTTTTGCAATGCAGGTGATGGTGAAGAGAAGACATTGGGAGAAGGAGCAAGGGGCGAGCAGAGTGTGTCACTCTGTGGTCCAGGGTTATGAATCACAGAGTAATTCCAGTTGTAAGGGACTTTGGACATTATGAAATGACTCATGAAAGCAGGCCCAGCTTAGAGCAGGTAGACTGAAAAAAATAGATGTCTTTCTAGAGACCAAAAGGAATTTTATTGAGTTTGTTGTAAAATACTGAAAATTGCTGAATTGAGAGTAAAACTGGAGGAAGAAGACCTACCCTGAAAGTATCACTGTGGCCAGAGGAAAGTTTTCTTTTTATTCAGCCATTTTGTCTTTCAAAAAGCTACCTTGCTTAACTTTTTATTTTCCATAAACCAGATTTAGAGTACAAAACTTGGTTTGGTGGTGTTTGAGATGCTAATTTTGAAGAATATGCAAGAAGGTCGGTCCCAGAGCTGTGGTTATCTCAGCTTCCTCTCACAGAACCTTTACTTTTCTTACTTAGTTTCTCACATAACATTAAGCTATTCAAAACATGACTTCTGAAGAAATTAAAATATAAATACTCAAGACACATGTTTAAATGAAGATTGAAGCTTTACAGTTCCATCTGCCCTCTTGGGCATTTCCAAGACACAAAAAGAAATAAAGATATTCCCTTCCTAAAGGAGAAATAAGATATTTAAGTTACTTATCATATATTATAGGATTTTCACCAGGAAAATTGTACTGGAAAAATATCACCATCAACAAAAGTGTACATGTGGACCTAAAAATGGACAGTATAAATTCAAGGCATGCTTTAGAGTTGCCCTTATCTGAAACATAAAAATTAAGACTTACTTGCTCTTGTTTCCCCATCTTCAGCTGAGATGTAATCATGAAGTAGCAGAATTAATAGCATCTGAAAAAATGTTATGATCTGTGCCATGTGTATTGTATTTTCAAAGTCTTGAGATTAAACTAGATGGGGAAGAAATGAAAAGAACATACAGTGCTATTATATTACAAAACACATCCAAACTTCTGTGTTTTAAAACCTATACATCAGGAACAACTTTGAATCTAACCTGCAAGCCCAGATCAAGGCCAGCCTGCAATAGACCACAGACCCAAAAAGTGTCTGTCAGGCATGTAAGCCCAAAATTTAGATTCTAAACTCAACAACACTCACCAGCCTTTCTGTAGAAGCTCAGTTTTCACCAAGGCACATTTATGTACTTCTGCTAGGTACATACATGAGTAGGTTATAATCCCAGTCCTTGTCAGACTTGTCCAACCACTATCCCACACTGCAGCCATTATCCAAAAACTTGACAGCTACTGCTCCAAAATATGGCGAGTGTTTATGTATCAGGTACTGGTGGGGAGACGTTACTTCAGTCTCAACGCACACACCTGGCTACTTCAGAGATTCTAGGACACTTGCCACTCCTCTACCCCAGGGCTGAGATTGCCACCAGGAGTTGGGGTCTCAGCGAGTCCCAGCCCTCTCCCAGGAGAGCCAAGCCCCACAGACTGTGTACCGTAACATCCAAGGTTACATAAATTATATGATTCTTCAACTTCTGATTTTTTCCTCCATTTATGTCTCCGTTGTTATCCTGGTCTCTGAATTATATCCCCAAAAGGGTCCTGAAGCAAACATGCAATTTTGGTCTTGTGTTGCTGTCATAAACAATATTTGATAAATTTACTTAAATTAAGCCATATTATGTTCACTTATGTTCATTGCAGAAAAATAGAATCATAATGGGAAGAGATACTGTCTTAGGGATCCATTCATTTCAAGACTCTGAAAAAAAAAGTATACTTAATCCCTTCTGCATTCTGTCTTCTCATCCTCCAATGCAAAATGCAATTTTTCTAACTAAATTTTATCCTCCAATACAAAGCATGAACACCCTGGCAGAAAAAGGGAAGACTAACTGCTGGTTTATTGTATGCCGTAATTTCAATGTCAGCTTCGTTTCTGGTAGATTCATGATCCTTATCTGCCAAATAGAAGGTGTGCCACAAAATCAGCAAGTTGATTTACTCTGGCTTTTCAGTCAGCTGCTTTGCTTTTTTCACTGCTTATAAAGCACTTCTTCCACTAAGACAAAAAAAAAAGTTATCTCCACAACCTCAAGAAAAGCACAAAAGTCAACTTCCAGGAAATGCTACTCCTACCTAATATAATCCCCCAAAGTCAATAATGCAAAAACATAACTATTATGTTATTAAATATCACCTTCAGATCACAGGTAATTGCAAGGTAACACCATATTTTGTTATTCATATTACTTTGCATCAGAACGGGTAAGAAAGCAGATGAAGCACTTTGGGTTCTATGGGATAGGACATAAGAAGCACTGTTCCAATGATGCCACACAAATGCTGGGATGTTGACTTCATTGAAATAGATTGTGGCACTTTCTTGTCCCAGCTATTTGAAAAAGGACCTGTTTAAACTATGAAATTAAATCTGTAAGTAATAGGCATGTAATACATGAGAAAAACCTACCATAGTAGAAGTGGACAATTTACATTGATTATTTCAGACTTGATGGTTTGCAAGAGTCATCATTTTAAAATCACTTTCAGCCTTGTCTGTGGCAAGTCTTTACTGAAGGATAAAACACATCTCTCACAAGGCCAAACTGAGCAATACCAAAGAATAACGTATGAAATTAAATCTATGTGGGAATTTGGATAGCAGGTAACCAAAGAAGGACAACTACATTCTTTGGGAATATCAGAAAAATGTCAGCCTGTAACTGAAAAAAAAAAAAAGACAGACTAGTGTACAAGAGGGATTATATGTATCAAAAAACCACAATGCTGGCCCAAGCAAACTATAAAAAACTATAGATTCCTCCCACCAACAACCCCAAAAGAAAAAGGTCCAAAAGATTGATAAGGAATGGTTGTGAAAAAGACGACTGAGGAAAACATCAGAAAAGTACATTAACTAATTTTTGGTGTTTGTCATCTCTGTGGTTGTCTAAATGGTTATGTAAAATCCATAGAAATTATGTAAAAGTAAAATAAAAACCAAGCAACTTGGTGACTTCACTGCATCAGTCTTCACTAAAAAGAGCACAGGAACTGCTACCATTAATACTGCACCTTTTTTTGAAAACAGAACAACACAGCACACTAAATCTACGATACTATTTTAACAACACACTCCCTGCAGCGCAGAACCTGTGTGTGCTCCGTGCCATAAGCACAGGCACATCAGGTCAGGCAGGGACACCGGGATCCTGCTCGCTGGCGCAGCTCTCCTTTCAGCAACCCCTGCAGAAGTCATTAACGCCTTCCTTGAACTGCACCACCCTCTTTCATCTCTGCTCATCCTTCCACAAACGTTTACCCACTGGTACCTTCAGGGATGAACCCCCCGGATGGGCAGGAACGAGAGAAGCTACGTGGAAGAGGAAGATGCTCAGAGCTGGGTGGGTGGGAAGGAGAGAGCAGGGGGCTGCAAGGAAGCCCTGGGCCCCCGGAGGAAGGAGGTGCTCCACAGAAACGCTAACACTTCACCATGGCAGAGGTACATGTGAAAGCATTTACTGGCTGTCCTGGAGTACAGGAGCATCAGGGCGCCTGGTTTAGGAGCACGTCAAAGCCACTGCAAACAGGAGATGAGGGTTGTTACAGAGAACTAGAAGTAAGGAAAGGAAAATTCATGGGGTAACGCTGGGGTATGCTCCACTCATACACTCAGCAGAAATGTGCTGTACTCTGAATTTTTCAGTTCTGTCTTCTCCTTCTATCATTCATTTGCATTCATCTCATTCATGTATATATTTTAAACAACAGGCAAAAATTGATGGCACACCCCTCACCTGACCCCACCGCTCATCTCTCAAGTTGTCTTAAAACTCTGCCAAACAGGAGTCCCGAAAGAAAAATGGTAGTACAAGAAAGAAGAAATGTTTGCAAGTTCCTCCTGACCCCAGCCCCCCCTTACCCAAACAGAGATCTGCTGTTGACTGTGCAGCCCTGGCCTCACACTGAGGGGCATATCCAAACTCACTCTCACTCCACTGCTAAAAGAAATAATACTGGGAATACCCTCACGAGCGATCAGGCATCAGTGTGGGGGAGCACAGGAAGGAATTACAAGGCAGGAATCATGTATGTCTCACTTCTCACAGTGAAGAACTTCCATTCTTCATTAGTGAATGCTACGGCAGCCTTCAGTGTACATCTTTAAAGTTGAAAGATATTAAAGTAATTAAACTATCACATCAGAGAAAGATTTCTTTCGGTGAAAACCATGCTCCAACATATATTTCTTAAAAAGATTCAGTAAAATAACTGGCAAAACAAGCTTATTTGATTTGCAGAGTCAAATTGTTTTCCCTCAACAGATGAATTTTTCCACCAATTTGTGAGAGTCCTTCTGCATTTCATTTACAACAAAGCCTTAAAAATATGATACTGAACTTGAGAACTTCATTATAAGTATAAAGCCAAATAACTATTTCACAGTCCAAAACGGACTTATTAATAGAAACAAAAATTGAAAGGATAAACCCAAAACTTAAGCAACCAGCCAATGAGGATTCCAGGAATTATCTAGTCAGTGTTCAATTTGAAATAAAATAATAATATGGCACTGCACTTTTAATAGTCAAAAGAGATGCCAAACCAACAACTCCAGAGATCAAACTTCTGTGTCTCGTCAACACAGTAATTATAGCACACGCAACAGAAGTGTACTTGAAATTACTTACAGAAAATACTTGCCCAAGTGCCTTACCGTGGAGAGGCCACCATTAATATCAGCCCAGGACCTCTCCACTGACATTGCCAAATGCCAAAATTCATCACTGCTGATCATGCCCTTTCTACCTCCAGTTTTTTTAAGAGAAACAATTGAAGTTGTCTTTATCGTGGTCCATGGAAGTGCTCACTGCTTTCTTCTCTGCCCTTGAGAGCTCTGCTGACTGCTACAAGAAGTCAGGGTCCTCGTGCCAAACTTCTGCTGCTGGAGCTGTAGGAGCTGGGTCTGATTCTGCAGGGAAGTGCTAAGGGATGATAAGTCTGTCCAGCACTGCACAGAGGGACATGGGATTCATACTTGCTCCTTATGTCCTCTGCATTTGCAAACAAGTTGCCAGGACTCAACGATCCTCATGGGTCCCTTCTAACTTGAGATATTTTATGTTTCTATGATATTTTTCTAAGCTATTTGAAAAATTAAAAAAAAAGGAGTATTTTAAATAAAACTTTTAGCCCCTGTCTTTTTCCCAAGTATCTGTTGTGTTTGTGGTTTTACCAAATGTAACCAGCAAAACACATTTATCAAACTGCTTTCCTACCTCTCAGTTATACCAAACCACTTTTAGATATGGAAGCTCATGGAAGAGAAATCCATACATGGTTACTAAATAAATACACAGATGTTGCATCCAGCTCAAGTAAAGGGTTGTGAACTGGGAGAGTATTAGTGGACAACTAGCGTATGCATTACTGTATTTTTCAAGGCATCCCCCATGGTTATTTCATTTTTCCACCTTAAATGGGACAGTGCCCTGCACCCAGGTAGCAGGAGCAAGCCTTTGGCTATCTCCCAACTGCACAAAACTGTTTAAATTAAAGCCACATGGGCCTATCAGACATTAACTGAGACAAGATACTGGGCTGGGTCGACCTTTAGTGTGACTCAGTATGGCCATTCTTCTGTTTTTCACTGTACACTTTTTATCTTGGTTTTTTACATGCCACTTTGACAGTAAAAGGGATGTTTAAAGTGAGTGGAAACAGCCCCCTGGGGTAAAATGGTCTGTCTTGCACAGAGGGATCTCAAACAGCTAATGTAAAGGCCTCTGCTCTAAGCCCCTTAGAGCCCAGGCTCTAAGCCGCTGGGGTTGTAGAGTACCCCAGATATTTCTGAGTACCTTTGAGACTTGCATCAAGACCCAGACAAGTTTCTGT